CGTACGTACGTACGTACGTACGTACGTACGTACGTACGTACGTACGTACGAGTGTGTGTGTGTGTGTGTGTGTGTGTGTGTGTGTGTGTGTGTGTGTGTCGGGGGAGGGGTGGGGAGCACCATGCAGTTTGTATCCTGGGCCACACTGCTAACGCTCCTGGTGCGGGACCTGGCGGAGATGGGGAGCCCAGACGCCGCGGCGGCCGTGCGCAAGGACAGGCTGCACCCGAGGCAAGGTAACGAGGTTCCGGCCACCGGGACCCCTCCGCCCCCGCCGCCACATCCCAGCCTCCGCGTCCGATAGCGGCCACCTCGCAGTGGAGGCCTCACCCTCTCTCTCCTTTTCCTAGAAAGAATTGTCTCCCGCTTTGCAGCCTCTCCCTTTTTTAGGTCATTCCTAGCCAATTTCTAGAGAGAGACACTGGAACGAACTTAGTCGTCTCCCTCTTCTCTTTTAGCCTGATTATTTCTCCTTTCCCACCCCAGGCCCCAAACTATAGTTACTTAGTAATGGGGGGACACCAAGTAGCAGAATGTTTTATTTTATTCAGAGTATTTGTCACGATCTGTAATCTTACGTATTTTGACTTTTCATTCTCTGGCTCCGAACGGTATATCCTCAGCGCCTAGCACTGTTTCTGGCACATAGTGGGTGTTCAGCAAATATCTGTCCAGAGACTGAAGGTGAAGGGATTGACTCCAATGAGGAAAACAAACAGCTGGGAAATAACTCAGAACAAAGCTCCCACCTTCATTTTTAAGTTAAAAGGTTCATATGCCTCTGCTTCTCTCTGCAGTGAAATTATTAGAGACCCTGAGCGAATACGAAATCGCGTCTCCCATTCGAGTGAACGCTCTCGGAGAACCCTTTCCCACGAACGTGCACTTCAAAAGAAGGCGACGGAGCATTAACTCAGCCTCTGACCCCTGGCCTGCCTTCGCCTCCTCCTCTTCCTCGGCTACCTCCTCCCAGGCGCATTACCGCCTCTCCGCCTTCGGCCAGCAATTTCTATTTAATCTCACCGCCCATGCTGGATTTATCGCTCCACTGTTCACTGTCACCCTCCTCGGGGCACCCGGGGTGAACCAGACAAAGTTTTATTCCGAGGAGGAAGCGGAACTCAAGCACTGTTTCTACAAAGGCCATGTCAATACCAAGTCCGAGCACACGGCGGTCATCAGCCTCTGCTCAGGAATGGTAAGTGGGAGCGCGCCTCCTCCTCTCCCCTGCCCTGCCCTCCTGCCTCCTCACCCGCTTCTGGAAGACTTAATTGCTCGCTAGCCTAAGACCTTCACTGCCCCGTCTCCGCTCTGGCGTTAAACATCAGCTGCAAACTCGTTTGCGTCCTGTGGCTTGGGTGACTAGCCCCGTGCGTGCGCTTACACTCGAGAGGAGCGCACGCATCCGCTCCCGGGGGGTTCTGGATGCTTCGGAGCTTTCTAGGGTCCGAACTCGGCTCAGCTGCGCGTTCCCCTCAGCCGGTAGGCGGTTGGGAAGTCGGTTTCCAAAGTCGGGGAGCGTTGCCCTTCCTTGCAGCAAGCTCCACCGCCCAGGAGCGGAGCAGCTGAGCGCAGGGAGGACCCGAGTCCTTATTGGCGCGTCTTGAGTCGGGCGTGTGGGCTGAGGATCCCCAGCCTCGGGTACGGGGAGTTCCTTCTGTGTGTCGTGGAGGGCGGTGCGTAATCTAGAGTCCCCGCGATCTCTCAGGGCCTTTTTTTTTCACGCGCCAGGAACCCTGAGGCCGAACTGGATTGACAGGGAACAGGTCCCGTCCTAGGAACGGAAGGGTGGGCCGAGGGCTCCGGGGGCGGGGAAGAGGGCGGAGCCTGCCCCGGACGCTTTGAATTAGGGAGGAAACTAGCAGTGGGGGTGCGGCGCAGTCCGATTCTGCACCCTGCTGGCGGGGTGGCCCCAGGAAGCAGCAATACTGGGGGAGAGCTTAGACAGGCTGCTCAGACGAGATTTCAGTTCTGGGGTTTCTACCACCCATGGGGTTCCAGAGAGTCGGAAAAGGGAGCCTGAGTGGCACGTTTCCCTAGAGAAGGAGAGCGAGAGGGCAGGGCGGCCACCTCCCTGTACTGCAAAATACACATTTATCCGGGGATCCCAGCTGGTACCCTGACACCCCTGCTTACTACTCCCCCAATCCCACTTGCCCTCCAGTTGGTCCCCCACGGCGTCCTCTCTCTCCCCTCATGATGTTTGAAGACCTGCTGTAAGGTTCTGGCCTGAGCGAGAGCGGTTCTTGGACTTTCCCAAGCGACGTGCGTTTCTGCCACGCGCTGTGACGCAGAAACTATCGCGGGTCAGACTTTCCCAGCACAAAGCGATGTGCGCCCTGAGCAGCGGTGATGCGATCACTTTTCCCCAGAGCACCCACACTCCCCGCTGTTACCTTTTATAAGTGGAAACATAGATACTTACCCGGGGCTTTTGGCTGTCCACCTCCGCGCGCAGCAGTTAGTGGGTCCAGAGTTCCGCATCTGGATGTCGCATCCATCTCGGCCAGCTCAACGGAGGTGTCGGGTGGGGAGCAAGGCAGGCTTGAAGACTGCGAGGAGGAGGTTTAGCCTGCTGGATACAGGGATGGAGGTGAACCCCTCTAAGCCTCCAGCAAAGCGCCCAAAGCTGCGGTGCGTTGCTGAAATTGTTTGGGGGTGGGCGGAGACGGCAGTTTGTCGAGGCGGGAGGGGGTGCTGCAGTGAGTCACCGCTGCCCCAAGACGCTTGGAATCTTTCTGTTCTAAAGGTTATGGTCTGGGTGGCCATAAGTCAGGTGCTGGAACCCAAAGCCTCAGAGCGCCCTCAGATCCCAAGATTGTAACCCCCAATTCCAGAACCTTACTGCTAGGTCTGCGTGTGTACGTCAAGTTTGTAAACAGCCTTTACTCCTCCTCCCTCTCCGCCTCCACACCCCGCTGAGTGGCCCCAGCAGTTGTACAAATGGTTTACTGCGCAGGACCTTAATTTCTATTGGCAATTTTAGGTGGTAACTCGCACGTGGAACTGCGTGTAGTTCTTAACTCTCACAGGGAACTGAGGGCCAGGACTTCAGAAAGACGGATTGATTGCCTAGACTGCGATAAGTCCATTTGTATTGTGTTTAATTTCCAGTCTGGCTCTGTTTTTTGGGGGGGCGGGGGGGACGCGGTGGGGAAGATCTAGCATACCTCTGAAAAAATATGCACGCTAGTTGTTTCTATCTTCAGCGATTAATCTAGCTCCAAAACCTTTGCCCCTTTGTCTTCCTCCTGGAATTTATCTTTCCTCTAAAAACGTCCCCTTCCCATTTCAGTAACAGTAGTATCATGACTAGTATTGTGACATTCCTCGCAGCCCACGCAGGAAACCTTGCAGGAAATCTTTCACTCTTTACAGTGGGCCATTCCAACCTTTCCCCCTACCCCACCCCACCAGTCCATTATCAGGTTCCCTGAATTCCCTCTCATCTGTGTTTCTCACCTGTTCTGAATATCTCTACTCTAATTCTAGACCTTTTCCCCTCTCTCTTCCTCTCTCATTAGGACTAATGTCTAAGAAATATTTCCACCTGGCTTCTTCTCCTTTCCTCTCTCCCTAATCCCTGTCACACACTACTGACAGATTAATGATGACAAGGCGCAAGATCACATCACTACCCTGTTCACTTACTTCACAGAGTTCCCCGTTGCCTAGTGAACATCTCCGCACATCCCCAGTCCGGTCTCCTCTGTCAGGCTTTCCTTCATAAATCCTGTATTGCAGGCGGTCTGCTTTTTGCTCATTTCTCTGCGTTCCCTCCCATCCTAGTCCTCCCTCATAGCCTTTGGGCCTTTGGATTTACTTGGCCATCTCATCCAGCTTCACATGCTCAAATCATACCTTCTTTCAGAACATAACTTCCATATCTCGTTTCCCAGGAAACCTCTTCGTAGTCTTTTGATCTGCAGTCATCCTTGCCTCTCTATTTTTATAAACGCATACCTGCGTTTCTCTTATGTTTAATATGCACTCCCTGGTATTATAGTTCTTGGAGCATGTGTTCTATCCCCTTTTCCTTGGCAGCAGAGTCAGCACCAATTCACTTCTCTCCCATATTGGAGCCTTGTAAGTACTTAGTGCATGTGTTTGAATAAATGGTCACCTTAACCAAGAAAGGATTACATGTCAGTCAAGCAACTCTTTTGAGAATTGGCCACAAAATTAATTTGACTTTATACACATACCATTTATTGAATTTTTATTATGTGTCTTGCCCTGTAATAACTTTATTTGTACCTTATCTCATCCAAATCCTCACAACAGCCCAATCCTTGAAACAACCCATTTTCCAGATAAGGACACTGAGGCTTAGAGAGTTGGAAACTTGCTGAAAGTTTCACAGCTACTAAGTGGCAAAGTTGGGGTTCCCACCCAGTCCTTCTGGCCCATGTTCTTAACTGTGGGCCAGAGACTGAATCTATGTTCCTAAAGAGTATTTCAAATGTCTTTTTCAAAAAGGCAGTGGGTTACAGTCAGGGTATCTGTGGTCTAGTCAGCACTGGTACTGTTCCGCTGCTTCTGTATCACTGAAGGGGAACTTTGGATGAGCTCCTTCTTTCCTCCAAGCCTCAATTTCCCCTTGCAATAATCAAAGGTGCCAGATCGTCACCAAATGGGCTCCCAACTTCTTTCTCAATATTTATAGGCTGTCTCTACTAGCTTTTCCACATTGTGGTAAGCTTCCTGCTTTGTGCTCAGAGAACACCTGAGTTGTGTATTGAAAACAGAGAGACATGCCTAGGTGAAAATAAACTTGTTAAATTCCTTCGTCTCAGGAAACCAGCTACCCTCTCTCTTAGTCTGACGCCAGACTATATACCAGAGGTGTCTTCTCTTTCAGTCAGTGGCTTATGAATCACGTGGAGAGTTTTTAAAAAAAATATAGAGGCTAGACCTCACCCTTGGAAATTCTCAATCTACAGTTATAGGATAATGCCCAAATCTAAGTTTTTTTTTTTAACTTAACAGGCAATTTTGACATTTAGTTGGGTTCAGGAAACCCAGTATCTTTAGTGCTTGAAAACTTTATCTTGCCTAAGAATGCTATGCAGTGCTCATTAAAATTCCAATGTCTGGGCCCTATCCCCAGATAGTTTGATTAGTGGACCAGATTTGGGGTGGTGCGCAATTATTGGAATATCTAATAGACTCCTGGGTGATGCATATGCTACCACTGACATTCAAGGACATCATTTCATTTCCCTACATCCAGGGGAAAGTCAAAGGCCTCTGCTTTATTTTTTCCCCTATGAGGGAAAAGGAATAATGGAGGAAGACAGAAAAGCTTGATTTCTCCCTTTAAACACTGTCCACCAGCATGGCCTGGGGAACTTGTTAGCACTCTGGTAATATTTGGTTCTGGTGGTTCAACTTTGAAGCATCACTTATTTGCAAAACTCGGGGGTACGCGGGAAGGGGAGGAGAAAGAGTTACGTCTTTCAAGGTGCTCAGAATGATTGGCAAATGCTAATTATATCCTGATGGTTAGTGGCTAACACCACAACACCAAAAGCCACTGGCATTCTGAGCTCTTCCAAGATGTCACTTTGCTAAGCACTTTACATGCATTATCTCATTTAATCTGCACAGTAAGTAAGGACAGTGAGTATTTTTATTCTCAGTTGAGAACCAAGGAAACTGAAGCTCAAAGCAGTTAAGGAACTTGCCCAAGGTGGGTGGGTGGGTAGATGGCGGTGTTGGGACTGGAGCCTAGGGCAGCCTGACTGCAAACTCTTATCCCATGTCACTCCCTATTGTAAAGGGAAGAGATGATGAGCAACTCATGAGCCAGGGTTATAGGCAGCGCCACCTCGGGTGCCTTGTGGTCCACAGATGCTTCCTGAATTTGAAATAATAAGGCTTTCATGAGTAGTCTTTTCCCTTTGAAGCTCACGCTTGTCCCTATTTCCAGGCTGTCTTCACACACAAAAACACTCTCTTTCAACAACTTGTAGGGGTAACTATAATTAGAACTTGAGCACCAAGGAAATATTTCTTAGAGACTGATTTGGATGTCAGGTGGAGTAGAGTCAAATCAAGGGTAAGGTACTGATAGGGCCGAGAGTGAAGGGAAAAAAACAAAAAACAAAAAACAAAAAACAAAAAACTGCTTCTCCAAATATGTCAGCAGTACTTTCAGTTTAAGCAGCCCTCATGGGAAGGGCTTGGGTAGGATGGCGCCATTCTCTTGGCAACGTTCCATTGGTCTTTTCCTTCCAATTGCTGAGAACTAGTGAATCAGCCTCTCATCTCTCTTTATTTGCAGCTGGGCACATTCCGGTCCCATGATGGGGATTATTTTATTGAACCACTACTGTCCATCGATGAACAAGAAGATGAAGAGGAACAAAACAAACCCCACATTATCTATAGGCGCAGCGCCCCCCACAGAGAGCCCTCAACAGGAAGGCATGCATGTGACACCTCAGGTATTTGCTTCTCACTTCAGCAGAGATCCCAGCTGTGTGAGCTGGGTTAATTGCCATCCTACAAAGATGTAGATCTGGCACAGACTCCAAAGCGCTACGATATACATTGTCTTTTATTCAGTCTTCAAGCAAGGTAGGTATATCCCCACTGTACAGGTGTGGAAACTTGAGATGAGGTTCAGTAACTTGTCCACGGTTGCCTAGTTAACAAGTAACAAATCCAGGATTGGAACTGAGCAGTGACTCCACGCTCATTCTGGGCAGAGCTGTCTCTTTGGTTGAAGTTGCTAATTTTTAGGATGAAGCTTTAGTAATATACCGAGTCCATTATCACCATATCCTCAGTTGGCAGTTACTTGTGTTTTCTTGGTGTGTTGATGTTTTCTGTTCATTTGGATTTTTGTTTGTTTTTACTGTGTAGGGTTACCAAAAAAAGTCTTACAAATGGAACTCACAAAAATTTCTATGTATTTATCAGAATTTTTAAAATCAACTTCGGTTAACTAATATTCTATGGCTTCAGGAAATATAGGGATGGAGCTATAGGTTGCACTGTCAGGTTTCAATCCAGTGCGTATATGCCCCGCACTGGATTTCCTTCTCTCCCTGCCACATTCTTTGAGGCTTAGTGCTGACATGTTTGGCCCAGAAGAATGGATATGTTCTTCTGGGCCCCTTGGAAAGCTTATGCTTGTCTGTGCTTCTCAGCCTGCAGTGTTGAATCTCCCTTTCACTGTCTTTGAAGCCTAGTTTCTTTCTCTCTGATGGTAGCATAGCATTAGCAGCCATCCCTCTGTTTGGTCCAGGATTTTAGGATGTTTGTTAAAATACCATTTAAAAAATTCTGGGACTTTCTGTTTCTGAAACTTCATCCCTCTTCCTAGTCTTTATTTTTAAAAGTCTCTTGCCCAAATTAAATAGTTTCTCAGGGTCTTCCTGGCATCTTCCAGTAAGACCAAGTT